CGCCGAACTCCACGTCCAGCCCGATTTGGGGTCGATCGCCATAGGCGGCCACCGAAAACGGATTGCTGGCTGCGTTCTGTTGCATCTTGCCGGGGGATCCCAATTCCCAATTGGAGATTCAATTATTGTTCTTATTTTCTGTGCTATTTTGTGCAGTGCGTGTCTGTGTGCGTGTGCGTGTGTGTACGTGTGTGTGTGTGTGTGTGTGTGGGGAGGGGGCGTGCGAAAACGGTGAAAGCGTTGTCTGAAACCTGCTGATACACTGTTACACTCCACTTGGCAACGCACGGCGAATTCGTTTACATCAATTGGCAATAGTTTGTCATATCTGACACTGGACGACACACTGGCACTGCAAAATTTGTGTTATTACTCGATAACAAGTGTCCACGAGTACGATTACGGTATCGATAACAGTCGATTGCCTGGTTTTTCATATCTGCTTCTGTTTCCACTATGAAAACATTTAGAAAGTTTGGTATCCAATATCGAATAGAGACTGCGTTTATGACACGCAACAAGCCAATAATTATTTTACAATTGTTTAAGCTACGAAAAAGACTCAATCAATAATTTGATTAAATTCGTTGTTAATTGTAAAGATATTGTTTATTATCCAACACATCAATAATCGTAATCAAACATATGGAACCAATGTATCGAGTAGAAAGCTGCCAGTGCTCTGCTCCGTTTATCGTCAACAAAGTATCGATTATCGATGCAGGCTGAGCAGCAACAACAACAACAATAGCCGCCGTGTAGTTGTTAAAGCAGACCAGACTTAGCCAGTGCCGCTGTCACGTCAATTAATGGACACAACTAATATTTAAAAGAACAGAAATTAACTCTGGCAAGTAACATGAACTTCCCGCTGTCGAATGCCAACAAGGATACGCTGCGAGCGGCCTGCAAGAAGTGCGGCTACGCAGGTCACCTGACTTACCAATGCCGCAATTTTCTCAAGGTAAGCAAAAGCCGCAAAGCAAAACTAAATACATATATAGAAAAAAAAAATCAAATAAAATCACGTCGCCCAGGTTGATCCCAACAAAGAAATACTGCTCGATGTGGAAAGCACCAGCTCGGACTCGGAGCTGGACTACTTGACACCGCTAACAGAGCTGCGGGCGCAGGAGCTCAAAGGCGCCGGCGGTGCTGCGGGCGACATTGTACCAGCTGCAGCAACAAAAACAACTGCAAGCAAGCCAGATAAGAAAAGCAGCAACAAATTTAGTAGCAGCAAACGCAGCAGCAGCAGCAGCAAAACAGCCGTCACCTCGGCGACAAAGCACACAAAAACGGAGCGGCACAAGAAGCGCAAGAGAAAGAGCAAGAAGCACAAGGAGGCTAAGATAAAGGCCAGCAGCAAGGAGTCGGCCAAAAAGCATAAGAATAAACGCAGCAGCAAGAAATCAAAGCGTCGTCGAGCTGCCAGCACCAGCAGCAGCAGCAGTAGCAGCAGCAGCAGTTCCAGTAGTAGCTCATCCACATCATCGGACAGCGACTCTTCGAGCTCGGATTTGTCCAGCAGCGACACGGAATCGGATTCCAGCGACAACGAGGAGTCCAGCACCAGCGAGTCGGATGAATACGGGCGCAAAAAGAAGCGTCAGGGCAAATACAAACGCAAAGCGGAGACGACAGCGCCGCGACGCAAGAAGGCAAAGGCCAAACGCAAGCGACATCGCGTTGCCTCCGGCGGCGGCAGCGGCAGAGGCGCCGGCAATGGACCAGGCGCCAGCAAATACCTCAGCAGCCTCAGCGATAGCAGCACCAACTAGCAACGACTACCCAAAGCACTTTATGGCATTTAGTTTGTTTAACATATTAGTTAAAAGGATAACAAAGGAGACGATGAGTTGAGAATAGAGCAACCTCTAGGCTAGTTATATACGATATAAATACATATATTACATCTGACGGCAATGTGAGCACACCTGGCGGGCGGTTCAGCTAAACTGCGCTTCCTCAATTCACAGCAGACTGTCCCATCTATGCCACACACACTCACACTCACACACACACCCTCACACTCACACACATTTAGACTTGTCTTAGTGTTAAGGTAACGATCCTCCTAAAAATGTTTCCATTCTTTGCAAATACAACAAATTCGAATGTACAAATTTGTTTAGTACATAAATCTACATCTATATTGTTCTGTTAATCTGGATGGGCTACAAATCCGACGGACGCCCGCCATGTCGGCATGTCTTCCGGATCCACATTTCGAGCCTGCTTTATATATAGTCGTAAAAATAGCAGAAACAGATTCTACATTCATTTATACTTAATGATAAATCGAAATATTTTCATTTTAGTGCTAAAAAAAAGGTCTGTTTCTTGAATTCCACAACTTTTCTAATAAAATATGAACGTCATGTAACTTTTGAGAAGAATGGACAGTTACAAATCAAAAATCTAACTGTAAGCGCAGCAGCTGGCAAGCCGAACTTAGCAGCTGTGACGTCACGCGTTTGCCATGTGCCACCACCACTTGTTTGGCGCTACCTTTTCGAGTAAAGCATGAAGCTTGAATGGGTTTGCGGCCAGCGCCAAGCCAACAGGAATTATCTTTGTTGATGAACTGCATCAAAATTTATTTGCATGTCGGAATGCGTTGGTCCAAAATGTTTTTTTTTCTATACATATGCGTCGATTACCAACTATGATAATTTAGTATCCAACTTATGACGTAGATAACACTTAACTAAACGTGCTCTCACACACACACAGGCACACACACACATATATATATATAACACACGATAAAAAGATACAAATATAATACACGAATAGTCATTGATCAAAATAACAATGCCTAATCTTTTAGAGCGGCGAGGAGGCAGCTGTCGGAGCAGTCGATATATTAGCTGGTAAATTGCTGCCGCTGGTCGTATAATTGAGCAGAGCGGTCTGCAGGGCGGACAGGCGGCGCTCCAGTCCAGAAATCTTGGTCAAATACTGCTCACAATTGCCGCAATTGCCGGCAGCGAATAGAGGATTGGGCGCAACGTTGGCCACGGCTGTGACGGCAGCGTTGCCCTGGTTCGACATGGCCGCGAGTAGCGCTGCATTTTGCAGCTTCAGTTCATTGTTTTGGGCGAGCAGCTCCTCGCAGAGGGCACAGGTGGAGGCGCGCAGATCGGCGAGTGCCTGCTCCTTGGCCTTGAGGCTCTTCATAAGCGAACGATTCTCCTTTTTAAAGTCGAGCAGCTTCTGCTCGAGCTCAAGCAGCTCATCCTCGTTATCGGTGACGCCGCGCGTTGTGTCCAGGCTGTCGCTGAACTGTTGTATGCTGTTATTGTTGGCCAATCGACTCATCGCTTGCAATATGGTGTCCATTTTCTTGGACTCATTTTGGTCGGCCGTGACAGAGACAGAGTTGGAGTCGCCGCCGTCATTGAACGGGACATTGCTGCTGCTGGCCAGTCGGCACATTGCCTGCAATATGGTGTCCATCTTCTTGTCCATGGCATGCCCAGTGGCACGCTGCTCATCGAGATAGACCTCCAGCTTGCTTGTGGGCGATGCAGTCAATATGTTCTGGGGTGTTATGGCCAGCGATACGGCACTGCTGCTGGCTGCCAGCGGCATTAACGAATTGTTGGCTGGACGCGCCCGATGTGTGGTAATGATGTCCTCGTTGGACTGTGTCGACTCGCTTTCGCTGTCGTAACTGGTTGCCACTGTGGTCGCTTCAGCTGTGGATGTAGCCGAGATTGAGATTTGGTGACGCGGCAACGGCTGTGGCAGTGTGCTCGATGTTGGCGGCGGCGTGCTGGCGTTCGCTTTGCTGGCCTGCGCCTCGTTGCGCATCTCCTCGATGGGCAGACCCAGCTTGATCAGTGCATCGGTGAACTCCTCCTCATCCTTGGCCAGCTCAAAGCGCAGACTCCAGAAGCGCTGCTCATCATCGTAGAACTGCATATACGATTCACGCAGTATCACATTCGATGGACCGGCACGGGGCGACGATGACTGTGTCGATTTTGTTAGCAGCAGCGTGCTCAGCAGCTGGGTGCGACTCTTGTAGACAACCAGCTTGGCGGCGCCGGCGCCATTGCGTGACAGCGCCACGCCCACACGTCCCACATTATCACTGCCATTGTAGCCCTGCGCCACCTTGGCCACAACAGTATTCCAGCTCTCGACGGTCATCAGTTCCTGCTTGTTGCGCGGCACAGAGGAATGTATTTTTGATTTGTGCTTTTGCTGCTGTTGCTGATGCAGCTGCTGCTGCTGTTGTTGTTGCTGCTGCTGCTTGTTGGTTGACTGCGGTTGATAGCGCAAGTTGCTGGTTTCGTTTTGCAGCGGCTTGTCATCGTCCTCGAAAATCTGGCGCAGATTACGGGGGCCCTCAGTGCTGGAATTGGCCAGAATTGATGCGTTTGTTTGGCTTTATTGTGCAGCTTACCTGTGCAGCTTCTCAAAAAAGTCCTGATAGTTGTCGCGCCCAAATTCCATTTTAATTTTGCTCCTTCTCAGCTCTGCTCTATATCGAATAGGTTTACTATTTGAAAATGTTTTGCTTCGTTTCACTGCCCAAGGGTCGGCCAGATCTGGCAGCGCCTGCTGTGTCAAACACAGCTGTTTTCAGGGCACACTGTTTTAATTTTAGTATTTTTTGTATGCGGTATTTTTTGGTTGCAAATATTTGAACTTTTCAGTGTTTGAAAACGGGCACAGAACGAAAAATACACGTAAATGCTGGTAAATTGCGTACCGTTAGTTTCAAAAGTTGAATCTGACATGCATATAAGTAAAAATGCAAATGGGTTGAACTAAAATTGTTAAACGGTAATTAAAGCCATTCTTGTTATGGTCACAAAAAGATTTTGACAAAAATGGTGGACAGAACTATATATAAATACAAAAATTAAGTGAAATTTTGTTATTGGCATTAGAAAATACAATCGCATTTAAAATATTGATTTATTTTATAACATTTATATATTTAATGGTTTGTTTTAAATATAGTTCTACTTGAGCTTAAAATTATTTTGACGTCGCAACACGAAACTGTCCAAGATTATTTGTTTAGGGCTTAAAATTAATTATTAAGATTTGAATGGCTTGAACAATAAATGCAGCATACAATTGGCGAAAACGTGCAAACAAAAAAAAATATGGAAACTAAATATATACGTTTCTATCACTAAATGAGTAACAATTAACAATTATCCTAGAAAGCTTTTTCAATGTATAACTTAAGCTGACTGTCATTTGATGTACAATCGGGCGATAAAATGTTGAAAGCAGACACTTCACTTAAGAGCCGCTGGGGCTCGCATAGAGACTCGACTGTAAATAGAGAATATGAGAGCATGCAAAGTCTAAATTTGTTTGTATTTGTACTGAGAAACTAACTCAACTCATGCGGCAATCTAATCCCTCTGGTTTTGACCGACGCGTTTCTGATTCGGCGCCGGCAGCGGCGGAAAATTTGCCGTATATAGCTTGGAATCGTCACACACTGGCGCCGTCATCTGACCCGACTGTGACGAAGATGATGACGCCGATGACAACGGCAGCGCCGGCGGCGGCGGTGGTGGCGGTGGCGGCGGAGGCGGCGGTGGTGGCGGCGGCGGCGTTGATTGTACCACAGCTGCAGCTAGTTCCGGCTCTTGATACTAGGAAGTGATCAGAACAGGAGGTTCAATGTGTGCCTCTGTGGCCCAAAGAGTCCAACGTACCTGCGGCATGGCGACTGTCTGCCAGTTGTCAATGTGTCCATTGGCCTGAAACATGTCCGAGGGCGACGGTGGCGGCGGCGGCGGCGGTGGCGCCGGCATTGGCAGCGGTGCCGCCGTAAGACCCGCCGGCGGATAAAGACTGCGCCTATAGCGTCTGCCCATGGGCATCTCAAAGAAACGCTCGCCGTGTATGGCATACATTTGGGCTGCGTCCAGATCCTCCTGCGACATGTTCACCGTGACCAGCTCCAGGTTGCCCATGTTGCTGTTGCTGTTGCTGCTGCTGTTGCAGATGCTGGCGGTGGGGCTGTTGCTGGCGTGCAGGTGTATGTTGCCGCTGTGATAGCGCCCGTTGCAGCAGCAATGCTTGCAATATTTGCGCGCTGCATTGTTGTTATTGTTGTTGTTGTTGTTGTTGCTGTTGTTGTTGTTGTTGGTGTAGCTGTTGCCCTTGTAGAAGCGACCAGGATAGAAATGTGGGCGTGGCTTGGGCGGCCTGTACTGCTGCCAGTGCCACGGCTGCTGCTGCTGCTGCTGCTGTGTTTGGCTTTGATTTATATAGCTGTAGCGCAGGTGCGCCTGCTGCGGCGGCAACTGTTGCTGCTGTGCATGTTGCTGCTGCACCAGCTGATACTGCACAGTGCGCGTATTGCCCCGTGCATTATAATTAACATAGCTTCTGTTGATGTAGCGTGGATTATTGCTGTTGCGCATGTAAATATTGCCATTGCTGTTGGCGGCTGTTGTTGCAGTTGCTGCTGCTGCTGCCGCCGCCGCCGCCGCCGCTGCTGCTGCTGCCATTTGCGGAGCATACTCTGAGGACGGCACCGATACGGGCACATAGAAGCCGCACAGACGCGACGCGGCCATCACAGCCCGACTGCGCTGATCCCAGCTACTTTCAGGCAATTGCTGCTGCTGCTGCTGCTGGTGTTGCTGCTGTTGGTGGAGCTGCTGCTGCTGCTGCGGCGATTGGAGCTGCGGCTCCATAACGCTCCAGATGCTGCCGCTTTGATTGTTGCCCCAGTTGGCCCAGTGGTCATTGCTGTTGATGTTCTCCCAATGGTTGTTGCGCTTCCAAATGCATTTGATGCTCTCCACAATGCTGTTCGGATTCGGATCGATGTGGGCTGCAGACGCGACGCCAACACCAGCCCCTCCGCCTCCGCTGCTGGGCTCGTATGCTTCGCATTGCTGGCGCTGATGCTGCCAGGGCAGCCACATGTCGACAGACGATGGCCGCAGGCAATGGCCATTCTCGAGCTGCTGCTCCGAGTGCGGCTGCAGCTGCTCGCGATCATTCTTGGACTTGGCCTCATAGCCGATGGGCTTTAGGCAGCTGTCCGGCAGGGCAACAGCGAGATTGGGTAGATTGCCAACAGCGCCAACGGGCTCGTCATTATTGAGATAGCTTATCTGATAGGGATTCGGCCAGAATTCATAGGATGGTATATTGCCACCGGTGCTGGGGCTGCCCGTTATCAAGGGCCCGAACGCGGTGTTCTGGAGCATGGTCAGCGTGAGGCTGGCCAGCTCCTGGTAAGGTGTATTGATGGCAAAACGTGTCAGCAGCTCGTTAACCGATAGATCCATCTGCTCTGCTTCGCCGCTAGCCTCCAAGGGCTTATCATCTGGCATGGGCTCGGGGGATGCGTGCTCCTCTACGCTGCTGCTGCTGCTGCTGCAACTGCTAGCTGACTCCGGCGGTGCCTCCGGCGGCGATGGTGGTGGAGGTGGCGGAGGCGGCGGCGGCGGAGGTGGTGGAGGTGGTGGTGGCGGCGTCTCCATATCAACTGCTGGCTCAAGGCTACAGGCGCTGGCATACGAAACGGTTGGTGAGATTTGTGGCGTGCTCGTCGATTTCAGACGCTGTCCCTGACGCTCGTTGAGACGCTCCAGATCCATGAAGTTGCCCAGAGTCAGTGGCACATTGCGATGATAATAGCACTCTAGATCACGATCAATGGGCGGCACAGAGCAGGAGCCAAAATTCATGCGTCGATTATCTATAAAGATGACCACAGCAATTATTCATGTTCATTATGATGCTATGTTGAATGTATTTTCACAAAATTCAAAGCTCACTCAATAATAAAAACAACATGCGCATAAAAAACAACAACAACGACAAAAATGTAGAAGAGCTTAAGAAAATGTTTCTTATTCGCACTCAACTGGATTAAAACTAGACAACAACAACAGAAAGAGTTAAAATAACTTCTTGAAGCAATTGTTTTTTTTTTAGCTCTTCGTTGTGTTTTTGTTTTGTACCTTGATATTTTGGAGGTTATGCTGTTTTTCACAAAGCACGTGTTTTTTTTTTTTTGTGTATTTTTAACGAATTTTTTGTGCACTTTTTTCGGTATTTTTTGTTGTCGTTTTAGACTGTTATCTGTTTTGTTTTGTTTAATTTTTGGCAATTTCTTTGTTTGCGGGCGGCAAGCACATAATACTGTGGTTGGCTAAAATGTCGTTGGCATATGGATGGGAGTCGACACCGGACCGGACGACGTCAAGACCGGCACAAAGCAGACACGCTCACTGTTTCCAGCTAATGCCAACAGCTGCGACATTGCGCTTCTGGTTTGGCATATCTTTTTCGCGTCGGGTCGCTTAGACGTTATACGCAAGAGAGTCGAGAGTCGAGAGTCGAGAGGCAGCGAGAGATCGAGACAGACAGAGAGAGAGAGAGAGAGAGAGAGTAAGAGTCAGCTGACTTGAGCTTGAGATCGTTACGAATCGGTTAGAGCTTTTTTAACGGACCGAGAGCAATGCGTTGCATAATATACGCAATATGTTAGACTCGGTATGCGTTCGGTTTTAGTGGAGGTATGCAAAAAGAATGATTGGCTTGCGTGAAAAGGCCTTAAGCCAAGCACTTTGTTTATGCGCTGCACATTTGTTTAAAAACTCGGTTGGTATTTGTTTATGCGGCGGCGGCGGCGGCGGCATATGACGCCTACGCCAGACGCCGACGTCAGCCGCAGTCGCCGCCTTTAACGCCGGTTACTCACCACATGCTGTTGCCGTCCCTTCTTGCTGCTGCTGCTGCTGCTGCTGTTGCTGTTGGGACTGTTGCTCCTGCGGCTTGGACTTGCAGCCACCCTTTGCAATGGCCTTGATTGGCAGCTGTGTTGACATGGACTTCTTGGCCGCTATCGGTATCTAAAATGTGGCTTAAGCTCATATGGTTTGCTGAAATCCCTTGCCCGGCAAACTGACCCGCATCAATTACCTTTTTATTTGTTGATATTAGCTGCAGTTCGTCAACTTCTTCAGCTTCACTGTCAACGTCTGCGTCGACGCCAGTTTCGCTATCCGTGTCGGTTTGATAATAGATTTGTCCAATACGATTGAATAATTGCACCTTCTTTCTTTTACGCTGTCGCTTGGTCAAATATTTCATTTTTCTCTCACTTCGCCACAATACGCACTCTCAATAGTATTCAAATATTTTGGCCGCTGACAACGACAATATCAGTGTGGTCGACCGCACTCAAAAATGAACCGATTCCATATAGTTGCAGAAGAAAAAAAATACCATACAGTATATTTTTGATATACTGCGCTTGAGTTAAGCTTTAAGCGCCAACTGTTAAGGTTGCCAGATCGGGTCAGGCAATACAATACAATACAATTCGATTGAAACATGTGCGTAGAATACAATTATTATTTATATGCATACAAATAACAAATATCATTCATCAATTATGCATTATGAATGTAACGGATCAGCTAACCAAAGCTCAAAGCCACCTTGGTTGTTTTTTGCAAAACTTCTACAAGTAGATGGCCATGAATATAGATTCATTGCTTCACTATTGCAGTTAGTTAATCAAATCTAGCCTCAACTGCACAACGCACTAAATGTGTCGTTTTAAAATCTAAAATAAAATTATATATGTATACTAATTTTTGATTTTTAACCAGTCTGGCAGCAAACATATCGATATCTTTTTTTTATCAACCTGCGAGCAACGCAATTGCTTAATTGCGCAGTGCTGCCAGACAAATTGCAGAGAACAGCTGGGTTCTGGCCGCGAATTTGTGCAGAATTTTAAAGAACTTGCGGCATTTGTGCTGGGTAGCGTTAACTGAATTTAGATTGCATGCAACATGTCTGATGATCCAGACTTTTTATTTGCACTGAAGCTGCAGCAGCAGCTCGATGGCGATATATCTAACAGCGAGCCCAGCTCAGCGCCCGTAAGTAACAACGCAATTCGCTTTGCCACACAAGCTCGAAAAAAAAGAAACAACTAAAAATTGTGTATTTTGGAATAGACAAAGATGACACAGAGCTCGGGTGAAGATGATGCCGACTTTCAGTTGGCGCTGAAGCTGCAGGCCGAAATGAATGCCGCGGATGCAGACGTCAGCGGCGATGAGAGCGTTGGCAACGAAGGCGTCAGCATCTTTGCCCTCGACATGAGCAAAACCGGCAATAACAATAACAAGAAACACTCAAACAGGAAGCCCCCACCACGCGTAAGTGGCGTAAGTATATATCCATATCATATTACACAGCTGCTTATGCTCACCTAATGCTATGCACCGCGAACAGAGTAAGGAGCTTATGAAGGCGCCCAGCCCGCCGCGAGCTGCTCACGACAACTATCTGGATCAGACTCAGAATCTGGTGCATCCGGAATGGGAACTTGTTGATCCAACACCGGATATATTCGCCATGTTTGTGCGCTTCGATCAGAAGTTTTTCCAGCGGCGTCTGGGCGCAGTCGTTGTTGAGTGGAGCAAGCGCATGTATTCCTGTGCGGGCATATGCTATCAGCGCGGCAATCGTTTCGTCAAGGAGGTGATCATACGACTCAGTGAGCCGCTGCTGAAGCTGCGTCCGCGCAAGGATTTGGTTGAGACCCTGCTGGTAAGTGTCTATGCGCTCGCATCTGTCCCAGTTATAATCATCGATTGCTTTGGCTTGCCTTGCAGCACGAGATGATTCATGCCTATTGCTTTGTGCTCAACATACGCGAGGGCAATGGCGGACATGGACCGAACTTTAAACGGATTATGGGCATCATCAACAAAGTGGCTGGCACCAATATAACCGTCTATCATACATTTCACGATGAGGTGGACGCCTATAAGACGCACATCTGGCGCTGCAATGGCATCTGCCAGTATCACAATCCCTTTCAGGGTTGGGTGAAGCGCACATCGAACCGTGCGCCCGGGCCCAGCGATCAATGGTGGGCCAAGCATCAGCGCGAGTGTGGCGGCACCTTTGAAAAGAGAAGCGAGCCGGCCAAATCGGCCGCCAAAAAGCCTTCAAAGCCAACGTCCAAATATACGACCAGGATGAAAAACGAAACGACAACCGGCGATGATATACGCAAATATTTTGGCAAATCAAGGACATCGGTTAATTTGCTGCCACAGGTGCAACCAGCTCTGGGTTTGCCTGGCGCATTCCCGCCCACCTCTTATCCAGGCGTATCGAGCAAACCATTTGATGTCATGCAGACGAGCGCTAGCAAAAAGAGGCGCGGCAATATAGTCGGCTTCAAGGATCTCACCGAAGGTAGCAGCGAAGAGGAGGGCAAGCGCGTTAACAAAAACAACTCACTTAACAGCAGTATGGAGGGTCAGGGCTACAGCATGTCAAATGGCAATCGGAGTGGCAATTTCGGCCAGGTGCCAAATAATGTTAATCGCAACCATTTGCGCGAGGTGTGGTCCAAGCGATTTGCCAGCGAAACCGTTAAAACTGAGCCAACAAAGCCCATGTCGGAAAATCCAAACAAGCGTCGTCGCGCTACCGAAGATCTTATCAGCTGGGAGTCCTACGATGAGGATGTCATGGTGCGCGATGTTGTTGCGCCCGTCATTAACATTTCAGACAGCGAGGATGATCTGTCCGAGCAGCCAATAGCCCAACCTGCAGCTGCAGCAACCAAGACCAAGACGCTACCGAAACCGCAACCGCAACTGAGCAGCCATGAGCGCACCATCAACATCAAGCGCGAGGTCATGGAGGAGGAATCGCTTTATAGCGACGATGACATTGTCATGATCGATGATGAATACGATGATGGGGCAGATGATGCTGGCGATGAACTAAATGCGGCCGCTGAGCTAGCCGATCAGTCCATCATTGATGATTTATTCGGCGAGGATACGCTGCTGCAGGAGTTCCAGCTCGAAAACGATGTGGTGCCATGCAGTTCGCGTTATCAGTACGATGAGGGCAACGATATAACCAGCTGTCCCATATGCTTTGAGAAAATGAAACGCTCCGAATTTGCCAATCATCTGGAAGGCTGCAGTATTACCATTAAAGTGCTGCCGCCAACTATAAACAAGAATACCCATTTACCCGGCAACAGCCACAGCATTAATAAGCCCAAAGCAACGGCAGGCAAACGTAAGCCACGGACAACACAGCGTCAAATACTGAAGAGCTCCGGCTATACAGACGCCGAGATCGCTGCACTAGATCTCAGCTCGTCCAGTGATTCGGCCAGGGCCAGTGAGAATGAAATGACACCACGTCAGATACGCCAGCGCAATCTCTACAAGCAGACCAGCGAGTGTCCCAAGTGCGGTCAGGAGTTGCTTGGCCATCAAATTGAGGCACATCGCAAGCTCTGCAAACGCAAGTCGCGCTAGGATTATTTCTATTATACTTGAAACATGCCCCATGGCTAAATTGCCATGAATGTTATTCTTATTTCTAGTTCTAGCTATTAGTTATTAGTTAGTTGTTTCTGAAGTTAAGTTCTGGGTTCCGTATGCGGCCCATACAATTTTTTTTTTTTGTTTTCCTAATTTAAATACTATTATTATTATTATATATTTGTTACTATGAAACTAGTTATAACAGAACTTTTAGTTTATTATACAATGTGTCTCGATTATTAATCTGTAACGTGTATTGATACTAATTACTAAGTCGATCTGATTAGCTTGCTGTTGTCTGTTCGTAAAATGTATGTCATATCTTCAAGAGCATTCGCTCGATACGATTGATTATGATTCGAAACTTTTATTCCTATATAAAATGGTACGCTTCAAATAAAACATTTTCACGAAGACTCAGCCATAAAGCATAACTGAAATGGGCCCCAAACATTGGTTTTATCCAACCATGTTTCGAGGCTGCAGATTTTAGGATAAAAAAACAAAATGTAGCCCGCATTTTCTATGTGAAAATATCCAAGGCTTGTAATATTTTCAGTAGAACGGGCATTTATAAATTGAAAACTGAATGTTTTAGTAAAGTGTTGAAAATGTATCTTCCCATTGGTGTCCTTTTTTCAAAAGATTCTACTTATTATATGGTCCATCGTGCTGGGTGGAAGCGGGATCTCCGAGCCGAAGTTGGAAGGCAAAAGACAAGCCTCGACGTGCTCGATCGATTCTCTTGAATGCACCTAGAGCCAAGCTGCCTGTTTACATCGGGCTTTCCAAAAGAGAGCTGCTTTGACTTAGTCATTGGGTTGATACTTTATTGTAAGGAACTCTCTGGAATATCAGTTTACAAGGCATATGTACAGGTATTTTGCTTTCGATCTTACAAGAGTCTGCCAAAATAGCGCAGATTAGGCTTGTGGGCATAGCGTGTCGCCAGCGCTGGCCAATGGACGACAAACATGTCCACCAGTGGCAACAGGAGGCGGCCGCTCAGCGAGAGCGTTTCGACCCGGCAATAGCTCTCCACAAACACGATCTTGCTGTGGGCGGGCAGGCGGCCGAGCAGACGCCACATGTAGGCCGCATAGCAGTAGGGCACACAAGTGCCCGGACCATTGCACAGCACCAGCTGCGGCCGGTCGCGCCAAATGAGCCAGCAGCTCCAGAGCAATGCCCACAGCGTTGTGAATACGCTGCTCGGCCAGCTCTGGCCCACGCTCCGGCTGCGCGGCACACTGATAAAGTCGCTGTCCATTGTCGCGGGCAGGGCGGCGCGCATTTGGCGCTTGGAGGTGTCGTCGCTGTTGGCCACAATGTAACGCACCGGCTTGTTCGGCGTCTGGGGATTGTTGGGCTGCAGCAGGGCCTGATTGATTTTACACATTTCGGCGGTATGTCCACCCGAGCCGAGTATAACATAGATGGGATGAGCACTCGTCTCAGCGGAAGCTTTGCTTGTCCGACACATGTTTGGTGTCGAAAATTATTTTGAAAAAAAAAGAAAAATAGGTGAGAAAGTTCGTGTATTTCGGTTTGTTTACCTTTTGTAATTAATTGTTGGTCACACTGCATTTTTATGAAAGCCAAAGTCTGGCTACTCTATGTGTGCTGGCGAAGTACATGTATAGCTTGGTATTTGGCAATTGCACAGGGTCTGGTCACATTTAAAATATGCACAATTTAAATAGCTTGAACTAAGCACAGCATTTGTTGCAATTTTTGATTTTTGTATACTAATGTGCACACATTTTAAGCAAGAGCGCAGCGGCTTCGACAGCAACACAGTATAAAGAATGTCTGAAGATCCACGCAACGAGGCTGTTCTGCAGAATGTGGAAAAGCTAGTGAAATGCTTGGCTGGTGCCGGCGTAAGTCCAATAAACATAATTCTTTTCCGGCTATTAATGCGGTTGCCTTTCGTTTTTTCCAGTTCACCACATCGGAGAGACGCTCGCTGATGCAATACGCAGTGCACAAGATACGGAACCATCGCTTCCTGAGCACCAACAGCCATCAGGTGCGCCGCTCCATCGACAACATGGTCGAGCGGTTTCACTATGAGGGTATGCTGAACCAGGCGGAGGCTGTGCGTCACCTGAGCACGCTGATAATGAATCATGAGTCGTGGAGGGAGCACTACGAGGTGGATGTGCAATATTCGCTGCTCGATTTCTTGCTCCACATGACACACGAGCCCATTCAGACGATGCGACGCAACAGAAACCGGATGCATGAGCGTCTGTTGGCCATTAAAGATGCCCTCAAAACGGCGCCAGACACCGATGAAGCCGAGGAGCTGCCACAACCCAACCTTGCAGAAACGGACATCGATTGGGTGGCACTACTAAGCAAGGACTTTATTACACTACCCAGCAAAAGTTACGGCAGTGACAGCAGCCTAAGCGTAGGTGCTCCAAAATGACATCTATTATCCGGCAAAGCCGGCTATCACTTAACCAGCCACGACTAAGAAGCGTTGGCGCAGTAAATGGAAGCATTTCCGACCACATAAAGGGCGACGAGCTAAGTCGATCTACCCATGTCCGTCTGTCTGAACGCGTCGTTTTCCACTCATTTGTAGGAATTTAGGCAATTTTCTAGCTTTTACAGATTGAACTCCGGTTTGGTGGTCATCAATTAATCATTTGTACTCTATCCACTGGCAGGATTGGACCGATGAGACTAGCAGCGAGGAGAGCTCACAATACGAAGAACCGCAGGATTCCAAGACGAGCTTGGATCAGAAGAACATGGCCGAGGTGTATGCCAAAAGCCAAAATTATCCCAGCGGCACCAATACGTTTGTGCCACTGCCGCAGCCCACAGCCGGACGGCCAAAGAAAGTCTTTCGCATAACGCAACCGATGTCCATATCGTTCAGCGGCATCCAAACGCGGCCCAATTGGTGTACGCTGCCAAAGCTGCCGGCGCTGCAGCCACCGCAAAAGCAGATGCCGTACATATATAGCATATTTGATGCCAACCATTTGGCCAGGACCATCCATTCACATTGGTGGCGCCAGGACATAAAGATCCACACGCTGACGCCGACAAATGACGCGTGCGCCAACTTTGCCATTGCCCATGTCCAGCATTTGAATAGGCATGTGCGCGGCCTGCTCAGGCATACGTTGCCCAATACCGTCACCGAGACCTGCCTGCTACGCGAGATAATCTTTATGTTCTTCGAGCCGGCCAACTGTTGCTTCTTCGAGGTGCAGCCGGAGCAGCGGACGCAGATGCAGATCAAGGTGCGCCCGAATGTATCCATCTGTAGCGTCAGCAGTGTGAGTTGTGTTTTGCTCAATTAGTTTGTCATTTATAGCTATTCTCTACTTAGGGCATACTCAAGATCACGCTGGAGGACGAGGTGCTGCCGGCCATGCGGGCCATGCACCAGCTGCGTCAACTGATCAAGGAGCTGACACTGCCCACCAGCTATATGCCCAGCACTGGCACCCTGGAGTGCTTTGCCGTCGGCCTGCGCGATCTAATACAGCCCATCGTTCAGCGTTTGTTGGCCTTTGAGCGGCGATTGCTGGACAAGGCCGCCGGCAAGCCGGAGTCGAACCTAACGCTAATATACTTTATACGGCACATGAACGACGAGTTTCAGCAACTGCAGCAGCTCCAATTGCTGGCATCTGATGCGGTTGTTCAGGCGCCGGCGCATCTGCGAAGCGCCTATTTGCTGACACAGCTCTACAAGCACACCAGGGTACATGTGCCGCATCAGAAGATGGCCACAGCGCTGCTGCTGATCACACTGAAGCGCTACTGCGATATCAGTGACAATTGGTGGCGCCACGCTCAGCTGGCTGACTGTCGCGACGAGTATATTGTGGAATTCTGTCGAGAAGATTGGGTGGCCGCTGGCCAAGGCATACGCGAGCGTTGCCTGCCAGCAGACGCTGATGCGTCGCATCAAGCGATTCTCGACGAGCTGCAAGGCTGTGCATTCTATAAGCTGCTCATTACGTATGCTCTGGAGTCCGGTGAGACGCAGGATCTGCTGGCCAGCATTGGCCTGCTGGGCGATTTGGTTAATACCAGTCAACAGCTGGGCCCACTGCACTCGGACCTGACCAAGCAGCTCTTCAACGAGCTCCAGAGCTTCGGCAGCAGCGGCGTACATCCAGTGGGTCGGCGGCGTGCCAGCGTCCAGGAGCTGGCACGTCTGGAGCTAAAGCAACACGACGAACAGCTGCTAAAAAACACCGACAAGCTGGGCAATACCGAGATTATGGGTCTATTCACGCAGCACATTAGACGCGCCTATGCCCAGCAAATTCACATGGAGCAGACCACGCCGCCGGTGCAGCTGCTCGATATTATTGAAGCACTCGAGCAGTGCACAACGCTGAAGCTGCCGCAATTGCTGCCCCGTGCATTGGGCCGCGTGCTGCGGCAGCGCTGCGATTTGGCCAATGTATATGTGATGCGCTGGTATCGCGAGGAGCTGCAGCTGGGCGATCATGTGCGCTTTTTGCGCCACATACTCATGTTGGAGGCCGACTATCTGATGTATCCATTCTATACTAGCCTCTTTCGCCAAATCGAATCCGGCCAGAGGTGGGCGCGTTCATCGCAGCTTACCACGGAACTTTACGACATCCTCGACGCACACTATCCGAGCATGGCCTGCGAGCTATATGTGGAGCTAATTTCACAATCGCACTCACAGTCCAGCAAGGTGTACGAGGCACTGGATGCCATTGGCATGGTGTATATAATGCCACCGGCTCTATCCCGCATCATAACCGAGAAGCATATGGCATACTACAATAACATTTGGCGTCTCATGCTGAAGGTCAAGTGGGCCGCCTGGAAGCTGGAGAATATGCATTTTATACGCCGTGAACCCAAAGATGTTTACGGGCCGCTCGATCTGCTGGGTCTAACGGTGCGTCGTCTGGAAATGCTACGTTTCTGGCTGATCTATTTGATCAACAGCCTGCACACACATCTCTGCACCCATGTTATGCAGGCCATTGGTGGTCAGTTTGATGAGCAGCTGAAGAAGATTGGCACCATACGTGAACTGGCCAAATTGCATCACGAGTATCTGATGTGCTTGGCCAATCATTGTATGCTCACCGAAGACTTTGAGGAGTTCTGCACGGCGCTGGAGCAGATATTCCATCTGGTGTTTGTGCTCGACATGGAATGGAATAGCTGCGGCAACTATCTAAATGCATCCCACGCGCTCAGTCTGGACTTGAGCTTTGAGTACGATGATCTAAGCCTGGAGAAGACGACCAATTCCAATTCGGATATCAATGAGTGTACCAAGGCCATGGAATATCTGGCGCTCAACCAGGTGGGCGAAATCGAAGGCACCTATATACGCTGCCATCAAATGTTGGGCAGCATACTCACGGCTCTGGTCTACAAGCACGATTATAAGTTCTGTAAGTTATAGTCTATGTATTGAAAAGTCAACAAACTAATCACTCTATCCCTCTCTCTCTTTCGCTCTCACACGCTTTCGTTGTGCCTGTTTTGCCGTCTCTGTCTATTTGCAGTGAATTCCCTGGAAGTGGCCATCAACTCGAGCCTGCCCTGTTAAACAGCGTAGATGTAGTTAATTAAACGTAATCTTCATCTTAAAATAATGTTTTCGAATCTCACAAATTGTTAAATATGTTTAATGAAAATAATGTATATATAGCATAACAAAGTTATAACTAAATTCAAATGTTTTCAGTGAATTTCTTTTAAAGCAATGCGTTTTTTTGTTAATTACAAGTTTTCAAAACAGTTGCTTTTATTGGCAAATCATTATTATGAACTATTAATGATTAAAAAGGCTGTTTTCAGAGCTCGTCAGCCGGAAATAGCTGAAAATTGTTACCGATTTAGCTTTCTTTTTGTTTTAGCTATTTTTAACATTGAATTCAGCTACTTTTTTGCAGCTGTCAACACTGATTTGTTTCTTTTATTATTTACTGTTAAAATATAACTATGGCAACGCCAAATCGACAAGTCAATACATTGCCAAAGTGTTTGGCTGAAGGATATTTTCAGTGCTGCCAGATGGCAGCACTTTGGCGGTTAACTTTTGAATTTCTACAAGCCGCCTAACGCTACAAAAGGGATGAAACAACTGATATATAAACATTGCACATTGTTGTCCTGGCAACCAGAGCGGAAAAAAAAACACAAAAAATAGTTTAAAGCACCATTCGTTAGTTGAACCACTGTGCTGACTAACAACTATGGAAACGGACACGGAGATTAGGAGCAGCAGCAACTACTACCAAAGTGGACAGACATGTAAGTCTATGTTGCTAACTAAAGTGTACATAATAAATTGTTTATATATATATATACATATAAGTAGTGATGCGGCAGCATGCCAATTTATTGCTGCAAATGCTGCTGCAGGCCAATGTCTATGTGACTATCATCTGGGCTATTAGCTACTTGCTACACCTGATCATTTGGGTGAGTCTCCGACAGAATGCGCTGAATAATTGATATATAAAAGAAGTTATTTTCTTGTAGTCGCATATGCTGTGGAACTATACGGGCCTGGCCATGCTGCTGGCCTATGTGCTGGCAGTGGGCACTGAGTGGCTGCGCCTCTATGCCAGCTACTCGATCAATCTGTGCACGGATGCGACGACCATGTGGCTGCTGCTGACGCTGACTCCCTGTGTGCTGCTGCCGGCACTGGTCTATTTGCGTCTGGCTGTTGTCTTCGCCAGCCGTTGGCTGGCATTCCTGACGGATGTGCAATTCGTGCTCATGGCACTGGAGGTTCTAACGGCGCTCCTACACCATGCTCTGCGCCTGGCCAGAGCTAAAGGGGAGTCGCACAACCAGCCTGAGTCTCGTCTAGGTGCATATTAAAGTTTATGTGGCATTTGAAATTAGGACTTAAACATTATATCATAGCATATATCCATACTAAATAGGCTACACTAAGGCTAAAGGAAACGGGCGTAAGGCTTGGCAGCACCACCTCATCTGATCACACCTTGCGCGCATCGTCCAAATTGTGGGCCTTCAGCAGCGCATCGATGCGATCCAGCTGCGAACGCATTGCGGGCAAATAGCTGGTCAGCACCTCGATATTCTCCAGCTGTGCAGCACCCTGGCCGAGCAGCTGGCTGCGCGTGGGCACCCAGCTGTAGATGATCTGTAAATGCAATTGCGGCATGTTAATGTCAACTCTCTCTCTCTCTCTCTCTCTCTCTCTTTCTATCTGCGGCCACTTTACCTTGATGGTGCTCTGCACTATGAAGCCATGGTAGGGCTTCAGGGTGCGCTCGTAGGCATCCTGCAGATGCTGTTTGAGCGGCTCCGCTTTCTGTGCATCATTGTAGATGTTCTCGAAGAAGGTGCAGATCAGCTGGAGTCCACGCTTTAGCCAGAGCAGCGCATTTGCCGCAAAATCATCCACGTTCACGTTCAACACAATCATGTCCTCCAGATATTGATATTTCAGCACATCCGTGCCGTACACCTTGGTTAGTTTCTGTGCATGGAAAGAACAAATATGATAAAACAAAATTAATTTTAGGCATATATAAAAGAGTTTCGTGTTTAAAAGTGTGCTTTACGTTGGACTGGCTAGCGGGTGGTCGCCGGTTCAAATTCAAATTTTTGATATTCACTTATTTAATTTGTTTTAATTCGATCTGATTTGAATATTATATATTAAAGAATATAATTAAAAATATATATATTTGTTAATGCTTTGAAAGTGTGCTTTACGTTGGACTGGCTAGCGGAAGGTCGCCGGTTCAAATTCAAAATTTTTGTCAGAATATAATAGAATATAAAATCATTTCGTACTTACATTTATATTGCCATTCATATCGCTGATGACGGGCGTAAAGAGCTTACCAAATGTTTCTGTGGGCATTTAGATAATTAGTATATATATATATATGTGTGTGTGTGTGTGTGTGTGTGTGTAGAGATATTTAAACAGTTAGAGCGATCGATCTGTTCTAAACTTACCGATGACAGTGACAATTTCCTTGGCCGCATTCAAAAATGTTTGAGTCTCGATTTTGTCGGCGGCATTGGGAAAGCCTTTCAGGGCTTTAAACTGTATGCGCGCATCAACCATGATTATCACTTCTTATTATTATAATTATTATTGTTCTATTATTAAATTGTAGGGCTAGATCTTCGAGCTGTTGTTCCGGGCCTTTCGAGCTCTGAAATATGAATGTAAGCAAAAGCTGGCGGCGCACTTTCAACAGCTTGCGTTGAGGTTTCTCGCGTTTGTTGCCTTTGGCAATAGATTTTGTTGTAATATTTGTTTATCTTATCAGCGCCTTTTGCCAAATATTGTGCTGTTTTTGTTGTTGTCTCTGTTTCTTGTTTCTATCAAAGTATTTTCATTATCGAACTGCCAGCGCGGCGGCCGCGTTTCGCCCATCTTACCAGCAAAAACAAAGAACAGCCACAAAAAAAAATGGAAAAAAAATATAGTTAAATTAATTGAAATAAAGCACTGCAAATACGTTAAAGTCACAGTAAGACAAGCTTTTTGTTTGCTTGTTTTTTTTTGTTTGCCTTTTCATTTCAAACAACGCGTCAGCAAACGCGGCCGCACAGTGTGACAAATACACGGGAACAAGGCAACAAAACTTTTGTAGTTTTCTGCAGCAATTAAAAAAGTTTGACTTAATCACTTTGCTAAAGCTATATGATTAACATACCTATATCGACTGTTAATCACGTGATGCCCAATCTTATATGACATCATTGTGGGTATATCGCACAGCTGTGCGATCCATAGCGTATATATATATATATGCCTATTCTTGATCAGTCGAGTGTTTCTTTTTGCTTAAATGTTCAATTCTACTATATCATATAGCTGATCGGTCGACTGCCTTTAAAGTTTGAAGAATCTGTTGACATTCAAGAATTTAACCGGCAAATATGAGCAAAATTTTGGCAACATCGGACCACTATATATATATATATCAAGCAGAAACAAATCGGTTTGAAAAGAAACTCTGCTCAGTCGCAAAGCGTATGTAGTCAGGCTAAGTTACGTTTTTTTACACATGGCAATATTTTGATTATAGAAGCGCTTGTTTGCCCCACTGTGCAGCAATGCTGACAACGTAGCCGAGCTTAACCCATTTGACATAGACAACGATCGATGCGAGAGTCTTGAGAGTCTCTCCCAGACTCTCTCGAGGCTGGCAGCTTGGCTCAGGTTCAGTTTGGGTTAACCAACTAAACCAGTCTCCGATTATTACAGTGTCTCCCTCTCAGTCAATAGTCAGCAGCGTGTGTGTGTGTGTGCGTGTGTGTGTGTTCGTGTATCTTGGACTAGTTCTCTCCAAATTGCGTGCTCTAATCGAACTCTGATACAGCTCGACAGTTCGACAGTTTGACGATTCGACAGTCAGAGTTGATAAGCCATGCAGCACTTGCTGGTTCAAGAACTTCGCACATGAATCATCCAAAAGCGATTGATGGCCATTGTATGGCGAATTCATGTCCCAGCATGATTCACAATGTAATTAGCCTGTGCTATCATTGAGGCAGGACCGTGTTTTTTTTCCCCTCTAATATCTTGATGGGCTTCCCGAAACGTTTCGTCACACAAATTATGATTGTATCTGTTCCAAGATAACGAAACCTTTTCAGGGAATTGTATTCGAATAGTTTATGTGGACATGTTTGGATTGGGCTCTTTATATACTTATTTCTGATCAACATATAATAGAAATATGGTTAATTGGCGCTCTTAAAAAGCGCTGGCTTGTGTCTGTGCCGAGACAATATAAATATTGTTTATATTAGCTTTGGTCTGTACTTATCATAAGTGATCGTAAAATATATTACAAGAATAATGCTGCCAGATTTAGTTGCCAAATTGATCTAGAGACCAAACCATGAACAAAGAGCCAAATCTCGTAATACATACGTACATACGTACACACATACGTACATACATACGTAAATACGTACATACATACGTACATACATACGTACATACATGCGTACATTCATACGTACATACATACGTACATACATACGTACAAACATACGTACATACATACAAACATACATACGTACATACATACGTACATACATATGTACATACATACATACATACAAACATACATACGTACATACACACGTACATTCATACGTACATACATACGTACATACATACGTACATACATACGTACATACATACATACATACATACATACATACATACGTACATACATACGTACATACATACGTACATACATACGTACATACATACATACGTACATACGTACATACATACGTACATACATACATACGTACATACATACATACGTACATACATGCATAATACGTACACACATACGTACATACATACGTACATACATACGTACATACATACATACATACGTACATACATACGTACATACATACGTACATACATACATACGTACATACATACGTACATACATACATACGTACATACATACGTACATACATACATACGTACATACATACATACATACGTACACACATACGTACATACATACGTACATACATACGTACATACATACATACATACGTACATACATACTTACATACATACATACGTACATACATACATACGTACATACGTACATACATACGTACATACATACGTAGATACATATATATAGATACATATATATAATATATATATATATATATATATATATATATATATATATATATATATATATATATATGTTCATACATACATACATACCAAAAAAAAAAAAAAACAAAAAACAGCAACCAAAAAAAAAAAAAACACCAAAAAAAAAAACACTACACTACTAGCTAAGCACGAAAAACTGCAGAGCCTACTTGAATTTTTGAGAATCGAGGAGTAGAGCACTTGGTCGAAATTCGTTTTATTTAAATTTGCAGCACAGCGAAAAAATAAGCTTGGTCTGCGTTTCATAAATGCATGCATACACCAACACACACATGGCCACACACATACACACACACACACGCATACATACATACATACATACATACACACACACACACATAAACATACATATATGCATCATGATGCAGTACTTAAATATATATTCTATACTACTCAAACATATAGTTTTCCTTAAGTATTTTATAAATCAATTTAAATGGTATATAAGTAGGAGTTTCCAGATCCCAAGATATATGTGTTTTATACTATTCCAATATGCATATCATATAGTTTTTCCCTGCTTCACAAATAAGTTACCCAGTTCCTAAAATGCCTGCTTTATACAACAACAATAAAATTCTTTATATTGAATTACTCAAAAATTTGAATTCTTAAATAACTGTGCGCAATTTTGCCTGATTTAACATTTATCATTTTTGCCCTGTGCTCATCTATCAAACTGTCAACCAACATTTTTACTGTCATCAGCAATTAATTTACAAGCCACATATCGTAATCATGAATCATAGAATAGATTACAACTGGAAACATAAACCGAAAAAATAGTCTGGAAAACTTATAGAAATTTCTTTTACAATCAAATAATTGTGGTAGATGAAAAGCCAATAACTTCATATAAGTGTCATTTTCACCCTATGGGGTGGATTTAAGGGAAGAAGGGGGTGTGTGTGCGAAAAGCATGAAATAAGTCTCTAGTACACTTACACAAAGATCTGCGAGAAAGAGTTTAAAGCAGATGAAATAGTAAGCGAAAAGAGTTGTATGCAACCGTTTCCCACCAATTTTCCACAGTTGCAAGTGGAAGTTCCCAAAAGTGTATTAGTGTATGAGGTAATATTACTGTAAGATGGTCAGATGCCTAGTTGATGGTGGCTTCGATCATTGATCAGTCAGTCAGTCCGTCAATCTGTGAGTCCGTCAATCTGTGAATCCGTCAATTAGTCAGTCCGTCAATCAATCAGTCAGTCAGTATTATAGCTCTATATTATGGCTATTCAGACGACAACTCACCTGAATCGTCGCTACTTGGTTGGCTTGGTCTGCGCTGTGGTGTCCAAGGCCAGGCGCTTGGTGTCGCCGTCAATGGTCAGGACGAAGGCGTAGTGAGTGCGCTGTGTGGCGAGCAGATGCCAGAGGGAGGCGGGCAGCTGGAAGCGATGCGTCTCCTGCTCGAACTCCTCGTAGTGGGCCACCAGGCTGTTGAGATTGCAGCGCAGCTCGACAAGGCGCAATGGCACGCTGGAGACAATCTCGGCGCTGGCTGGCAGCAATTGAATCTGGACCGGCGGCAGCTGCTCCAAGCTGGCCGCCTGCAGGCCGGCACGCAGCCAGCGATGCTGGGCAAGAATGACGGCACAGTTGTGGGCAAAGTAGAAGCTATCGTTGCGTCGCTGGGCGTGATAGTTGTCCAGAAATTGGCTGCCCGCCGGCTGCTTCAGCTGTGTGAAACGTGGACGCACCAGAGATGTGGCGGCCTCTGCGCTCGTGGACACAATGCGCTGCGGCAAATGCTCCGTGGGCTGATCAACGGTGAGCACGCGATTCAAATAGTCAAAGCCCTGGCCCATGACACCCTCCAGGGTGTGGCCCAGATCAAAACAATGGCCCAGCTCGTGGCACACAGCGCCCAGGGTGCTCGCATAGACGCCGCCGTAGGTGCGTCGATAGTTGCTCTCGTCCGGCAATCTGGTCACGTCCACGCGCTCCGTGCTGCGTATACAGTCGCCAATTTCGGAAAAGCGTCGCGGCCAGGCATAAAAGTGACCGCTGCCAAAGAGCGCCAAGCCGCCGCCGCCCAACGCTGCGTGCGCTTCCAGATGACGTCGTATATTGGCGTAGGAGTAGTCACCGCTGGCCGCAACCGCGGCGCCGTTGTAGCGTGTGCAGCCCACAAAGGCGACGAATTTCAGCTGCAGCTGCTGGCCCCAGTCCGGGCAGGCGAGTATCTCGCTGGCAAAGCGCTGCCAGAGCTCGTCCTCGCTGCAGGCACGCGCCGTCGCGCAGCTCAGCTGCGAGTAAAAGATGCGGCAGGCGCCGTTCAATGTAAAGGTGCGATTCGTATAGCCGGCGGCGCTCAATTTATGCGCATAGATGCACTGCACCAGGCGCAAATTCAAATCGATCAGAGCGCAGCGTCGCTCCGCCTCCAGCGTTGACTCCTCCTGCTCCGCGTCGCTGGCCCGGCACACCAGATACAGCGGCTGCACGCGATATGCGCTGCAACGCGCCTGATAGCTAAACCGCAGCAGACGCTCGCCGCTGCAGCAGCGCAGGCGCAACTGACAATTTACTGGTGGCTCCTTGGACTCTGGTTCCTCTGTAGCCAAATCGAAGAGCAGCTTGAATTCGCCGGCGGCGGACAGTTGTGTCAGCTGCTCCTGTTGTGTCTGGCGCAGCGAGAGTGTCGCCTTCAGCTGCTTGGTGCTGGCACAGCTCGGCTGTAGTCGACCCTTGATCAGCAGCAGGCTGTGCTCCACCCTATCCGCTTCCTTCAATGGCTCCACTTCAATGTGATGGACGCGCTTACAGCCGCTGACGACGCAGCTGGTCATTGCTCCCAGCCGGCGCGCGTCACAGCTCTCACAAACATACGCACACACAGACACGCAAAGAACAGCTGACAGCTGCGAGTGACACAGCTGTTAAGAGTTAGCACTGTTAGAGATGGGCACTGTTAGCAACGGGTGCTGTTAGAGATGAGCGCTGCAACACGATAGCGGTTGGTATTAAAATTAAAAAATTATTTAAACTAACAGAGCGCCTTCCTTAATTTATGTTAAGTTTCCAATGTGCAATGCATGAATTATATCTGTAATTTTAATTATATATTTTAATTGATTCTAATATGCAAACAAATTTCAATTTCTGATCAATAAATTTAAGATTATTAACAAAAATTCTCATTTTTTTGTTGGAGGTTTTACATATTGCTCGAGAGCATTAACTGTGCGTGAAGGATATTTAAATAATTGTTTATTAAGATAGCACCAGTTTGCTGGGTGACAAAAAGATATGAAAATTAACATATTTTACACTTCAATTAATGCTCCAGAAAATATTCGAAAACAATTAAACAAAAGAATAACATTTGACAGTTCAACATACAGCGAAATCGTGATATAAACAATTTTCGTAAAAAGCTAAACAGATATTAAAATGATTTTCATTTATTTTGTGGACTCGATCCGCGTGTTGTTTACGTTTGCATTTGCGTTCGGCGGGTTCATGACCCGCTTAAAATAAACTGATAAAAGCTGTGCGGCACAGGAACCGGTTTCTTTTTGTTTTCTCTATCATTTAACTTAAGCCTAGGCTGACGACGTTGCACGTGTGCAGCTGCTGCCGGCAGAGATTCCAGAGATTGGGCATTAGCAGATTAGCAGATCCTTCACTACCTGAGCTTGCCATTGTGCGTTGAGCGATATTTGGCAAAGCGTTCCATGTACTCCTCATGCTGGTCCAGGCTGGCCAGAAGGCCGCCGCTATTCACTGGCGAGTCGTGGGGCCCATAGTTGATGGGCTCATCGTCGAGCGTGGACATGGCGCCGCCAAGGGCGCGCAGTATGGCCTCGCCGGCGCATATGTCCCACTTCTTGATGATGGAGGTGTGCAGATAGGCGGTCGCATTGTTGGCCACCACTTGCAGCACCTTGTAACCGGCACCGGCGGCTGTCAGCAAGCTGACATTTTCGCCAAAGACATTGCGCGCCACCTCCTTGACGGCGGCGGCATGCGATCGCGATACGGTGATGATGGGCTGTTCGGAGTTGAGGCGCGGCTGCTTGTGCAGCTCATCCAGATACTCGGACATGCTGTGGCCCACCCACGCCCAAGCGGTCTGGCCGCTGAACGGATTGTGTATGACGCCGATAACGGGACGGCCGGCGACCGCGACGCACACCATGGTCGTAACATACTCGTACAGCTCCTCTGGATGGGCAGAAGGAATAGATTAGACTGCGATCGAGCCTATGTATGTGTGTATGTATATGCATGTACCTGTAAACTCTTTGGTGGCATCGAGCGGATCCACCCAAATGGTCACATCTTGCGCGGTTACTGCCACGTCGGGCACGCTGGCTGTCTCGTGCAGCACAGTGGGATCCAGATCGAAACTGTGCGCATCCTTGCAATGCTCCTTGTCCTCCTCGGAGAAGATGCGAACACGCGGAAAAATGCGCTGCAAACCCTGCTTCATCACACAATGCGAACGGCCATCCGCGTCCGTAAACGGATCGTTGACACCTTCAGCCGTTTTGCCCTTGCTGCGCTCCTTTAGCTGGCGCGTATGCGCCACATCCAACACCTCCAATCCGCCGCGCTGTGCCGCCTGTATGGCGGCAATTAGCATTTTGCGCAGATTCACTTTATTATCGCTGCGTAGCATGCCATAGATGGCGGGCCGCTCATCCTTGTGAAAGTTGAGAAAGTAAACAAGCACAATGGTCAGCAGAATGGCGGTTATGGTAGCTGGCACCCGATTGATGCGTATGGTGCGTCCGTTCATTTTATCGGACAATTTGTTGCTCATCTGGCGGAATCAAGTCGTCTCGCAATGCCAATTCATTCAGCACTAGCCGCGCGCTTTTTCAGGTGCGACGTGCCACTCGCCGCGGGCTATGCCAGATCAGCACAGCTGCCGCTGCTGCTACCCAAAAAAAAAAAAAAAAAAAAAAAAAAAAAAAAAAAAAAAAAAAAAACGAAAATAAAACAAAAACAAAAGGAAACGAAGACCAACAACAATAGAGTCAATCTATAACAAACATCGGCGTGAATAAACAACTAGCGCTCGCGAACGCAGATCCAAGAGCGCGGCTGTGTGTAGTTAAGCCAGAGAGCCGTACCGAAGCCCCGACGCGTTATTTCGCCCACTTGTTTGTTGTTCAAAATAATTGAACGAAAAAAAATTGCTACGATAGACGTCACATACGAAAGTGTGGTGGTCGGTCGATGACACTATCGATTAACCAAAATATATGCTAACATTGCATCTACAGCTTTGGTCAACATGCAAATGAAACAAATTTGTTAATTTATTTGTCATGCAGTAAGTAATTTACGATAAATGCAATAATTTGCATTTTAAATTCTTGTTCCTTATAGCTAAGCGAAAAGCTGGCAGCGCTGTTACACGCTGTCATTAGTTTAGTATATTTCCAATTTAACTATATTTTAGCATAAGAAAATGAGGCAAATAAATAGTTATTGCTTGCCATATACTGCATTTAGATCAGACTGTTAACTTATATATCAAATACGCATTTACAGTTCCGCCAACTATCGGCCATCGAAAAGCTGGCAGCTCTGCCGCGCGCTTTCAAAAGCGCTTCGCCTGGGTGGCAGCCTAGCATTATAACTGTTTTCAGTACGCATGTATGTTTGGTGAAGAAAAGTAATGTTAAAGCGCGAATTGCAAAGTATTAAGCTGAAGCTGTCCGATTTGGAGGAGTACGAGGCTGTGCGTAGGCGCAACAAGATTAAAGCCGCCATTGAAGCCGGCAGGTCATCATCAGCGACGGCCACGGCCACAGAAACGGCTCCATCGACTGCCAGCGACTCGACATCCGAGACGCCAGTGACTCAACGTCAGATGGAGGACCTACCCGCCGCTGTTGGTTGGTCAACAGCTGTGATTGTCAGCAGCAACACCAATTCCGGTTCCACCGAAGACGACACCAGTGTGGTGGCTGTGGCCGATGATAATGACACCATCGCCGAGCTCAGCGACGATGGCTGGGTGGATATTGACGAGGAGGATGGCGCTCGTGGCGGGGAACCATAGTTTACAGCTCCAATCAGCTATAGTCGCACATTTTTACGTATATTCCAATGCTGCTTCATATGTTGCATGATCATTTTTGTCCGAAAAACTCAACAGAAAACAAATAAACCGAATTTATACACATTTCACAGTTTGTATGCATATGTGTGTGCATATGTATATGTATGCATTTGCTTGCATGTCCATGTGTTTGTGTCTGTGGTCTTATTCTAGGGGATGGTCACAGATCCTGTAACGGCATATGCTTGAAAGCTTTCAATGACGCTGCGCGAGCTTTCGTTTTGCGCTTTCCAATATGCAATTCAAACTTAGAAGCTCTCCTCTGGCGGCGCTGCATTTGAATAGCGAAAGCTGTCTTCCTCTACTTCCCTTCGTCTCTTCGGCCCAAATAACAACGAAAATAACAGCCGCTGAATCCTCAGGTGGCCGTTGCGCAAATGCCACACGGTTGGTTAATGCGGCACTGTCAGTCGCCGTGCGCGCCTGTCTGTCCGCATCCGCATCCGCATCCGCTCGTGGCAGTTGCCGACGGGGACAACAACCGCGGAACAGTCGTGATTTCCAATTCGCCGGCAGCACCCAATACGACCGGTTCCGGCATCGACTTACAACTCCGGCTCCGAATACGTCTACAACTCCGGCTCTGAGTCGCGTCTCTGGCTCGAAGCGTTCACGTGCGTGCATGACAAAATTGCGTTAAACGTAGTTAATTGTTTGTTGTTATCCATATTAGCGCGAGCCTTCAAATTAATTACGTGAACAAATTGCTTTTTGCTTCGCTCTGCCTGTCATCGTATCCGTCGTGTCCGTGACCTGCAGTCGCAAAAGATCGACCCACGTGCTAGCCTGCCGTCACGTGGTCACCCCACCCCTCCAACCACCCCACAGAGCCCCGAACCCTGGCGCCTTCAACGGCAGCCCTAAGGTGAGCTTACGTGACGGACAAAGACAGAGAAACTGACAAACGTTCAAACGGAACATGCAAATGGCGGCGCTGCATCGATATAACCACCTGTCACACACACACGAACACGCAAGCACACAAAGACACACACACACACACACACACACACACACACACACACACACACACACACACACACACACACACACACACACACACACACACACACGCACGCACGCACACGCGCACACACACACACACACACACACACACACACACACACACACACACACACACACACACACACACACACACACACACACACACACACACACACACACACACACACACAGATTGACTGGCACGGGACTCGACACGTGTAGCGCATAGCGGAAGTAAAAACAGAAGCCGTAGTACAGTGAAACTTCCCTTTAAAGTAATTTATATTAATTGTAGATTGCTGCATACACTTCAAAAAAAATATGATGTGCTTTTGAAACTCTAGCAAGCATTTCCATGAAAATTAGAAGATTTTATTAAATGCTTAACAATTTGAAAAAAAATTAAATTGATTTACATAAAAAAAAAATTAACGATTTAAAATTATAAATATTATTTGGCATATATTTAAATTAAATGCATTTTTTTTTTTATTTATTAAGAACATTCAAAGAGTACGTGGCACGGTTTGTTAAACAAACTAAAATGTCGCACAATCCAGTTAATATTCCCTATTAGTATTACAATAATTTTTTTGAGTGTATGCAATTGAATTTTAGCTGGCTTCAAGGTTCTTCTCGCAGAGCTTTCGCTGCTTTCGTCTGGCCCGGCACCTTTCATTAGTTGCACATAATTAGCTCGGCTCACTTGCCGCAATTCCACTTGCACATGCAAAAAGCACTCTCACACACACATGCACACACATGTACAGGTTGATGTTTATCCGAGCTGCTGCTGCTGCCGCAGGGCAGCCCTCAACAGGTGCGACAAGGTCTTCCCCCCAGCGCGCAGCATTATTAATGCTGCGGAATGGACAAGAGCATGTTAAATAGAAAGCGGCAACAATACAAACGACACCCCCCCCCCCCCCCCCGCCACTCCTCTTTCGCTGCCGACTCTAGATGCAGCGCGCCGCACAGTGCCTGGCTGTGGTGGGCTACCCATGAGTTTCTTAAAGCCGTTGCCCGCTTTTAGGCGGCACTGTGGCCAACTTTTGCTGTTATTGCTCATGTAACTGTTTTGCAGCAAACAAGAGAACAATAACAAAAACCAAAAACAATATGGCTGCACAATTTACAGTAACTAGCTGAGTGTGTATGCCCACAACTCGTCTACGTCACACATATACATGTGCATATGTACATATATGTATATGTATATGTATATGTATATGTAATATCGATGTGTATTTGCACGTGGATGTGTATATTGCAACGTTTTGTCAGCTAATTTGCATGAATTTTATTTCAAGGCGCATTCTTCAAACCGCCTGCTGTAAGCATGGGAGGAGGGGGTGGGGATGGCTGGAGTTAAGTTATTTTTCATGCTCGCTGCACACACACATAACGGCGAATGACAATGACAACTGATTGACAACAACAACAACAATAACAGACGCAGAATGCGAACAAAAGAGAACAACAAATTGCATTAAAATCAAATCAATATTGAAATCACTTGAAATGCAATGTGAATTATGTAAATGATAAATGATAAATGATATTTACATAGTATTCACATATATATGTTATTTATATATGCATGCATATGTTTTTACAAACAGGTTATGTTCGGCTTATGTCAGAAACAATTCGTGAGTGTGCCCAGCTCCTGCCAAAGCTTAGGCGGATTTCGTTGGGCTTATAAATATGCGATGCGATATTAAAGCGTTTTGGAGTTTAACTCTCGATCTCACATTCAAGACTGTCTTAGCTTAGTTCACAAGCTATGTTGATATACTCAAGGTGTTATGTTTTCAGCTAGGGTATCTGTTTCTGTCCGTCTGTCCGTGTGTATGAACGCAAGGATCTCAGAACCTATGAGAGCTAAAGACTTGAAATATTAGATGTAGGTGCTCCTACCTCCCGCGCAGATCGAGTTTGTTTCCGATAATCGATAACTTACTCCGTTTCCAAGCAATCGATAAAAATCGATATCGATATCCTGTTTTTTTGGGCAATTTTGGTAAATAGTAAGAGCTAGACTCACCAAACTTGACATATAGCTTCTAAAATAGAATATATATGCATTTGATGTTGAAAGAGGAGGGTTCAGGGTATCCCCTAGTCGGGAGCTCCCGACTAGAGCCTCTCACTTGTTTCTGTTTGGAGGTGTCATACATGAATGTTCCGTATGTAGAATATAATATATTTGAAAATAACTCAAATACCGAGAGAAACATTTTTTTGTTTAGCTAGAAATTTGCAGTCGGGTGTAACCGACTGCGCAATGCTCTCTTCAAGTCCAATAACTGATCATTTAAGCATAACGCTTAAAGTATATAAACTAAGTACTTAAGCCTAGCCCGAATCTATCCTCAAGGCATGCAGCTGGTTCGAACTCCGAACCGAACCAGCGATTTGTGCTTGGGACCTGCCACAAAACCAATATAGTCCATAAAGAGTATACAAAGGTCAAAAGCAAATCACAGCAGCGGAAGCGTAACTCACGTGTCTGGCCTAAGCTCTATTCGCAGTTCCACTGATTAAGTGGACCTCAGACCCCGGACAGAAATTAAAAATAAAAAAAAATAATAAATATATGTCAAAATAGTTGTTATGGAGCACGTGCTTTTCAACTAAGTTGTCGTGTAGTTTTTTTTTCTGCTTCCGTATACCCTGTACACATAGAAAATGTGTAAGAGGGTATGCAAAGTACTTAACTCTCACTTCATATACATATATAGACAATCTTGATCAGGTCGGATTGGGATTTGGTCGATATACAAAACCAACTATCTCGAAAAATACAAGAGCTAGATATAGATACTCTCTTATATCATATTTTTAGCTCGATATTTCGTGAAAGTTTTCGAAAACCGATAAATATCGATTAGGCGAAATTTAAAAGAGCTGGTAACACACACAGATACAAAATATTCCACATTTCGTATATCTAGAGCCTTGGGCTTTGGTATTTACACACATTTGGATATGAACACACACGACTGAGTGCAGGGTATCTCGTAGTGGACTTTTGTTCACAACACACAATTTTCCACTCGGCTTATCTTATCTATCGGTATCGATCCTTAATGAGATCAAAATTCTGGCTACTGTGCCAAGACCAGAAATAAGACGAACCAAATGTTCCGTGGGCTTAATCTTGAGATGGGGCTGGTGGACAGTTCCGTTTTGGGGACAAGTGAATGCACCTATTAAAATCTATAGACGCCCGAATATTGGCTGTGAAAAGGTGTCGCTTATCAGGGATTGGGGTCTTTGGGCCAGGAGGCTATGCATCTGGCGGTTATTGGCCCAGTGGCAGCTCGGAGTGGAATTTCACGCACAGTTGTTGCATTTATTGTGTTTGTTTTTTTTTGAACATATATGTATACTTTGCATTGGTTGATGCTACAAGTATTGACCTTAAATTTGAGTTGCCGTCCAAGTCGTTATCAACGCCGTCCCCGGCTACACAATGAAAATTTCTAAATTCAGATATTTTGTTCGGCTGGGTGTAATCTAGGTCTCGGCTATTGTTGTCTTTTGTCTGGAACAACACACACACACAAATACCAACTGTGGCAACAGGAACACATCAAACAAGTGGCTTTACCTATGTCGACGCTATCTCGCAAGCCCGGCTCCGGGAACGGGCCTGTGTTGCTTAAAATAGCGTACGCCCCGTTTTATAAATAGCACAAAATAAACGAAGTAGAAGTAGATGGTGGAGGAGGAGGAGTAGGAGTAGACGGAGGGGCAGGAGAAGTAGTAAAAGTATAAAGAGCAGACGCAGGCAACTATTCAAACAGACAATCTGCCGGTGCGCAGATGTACAGGAGCGCAGCGCGGTCAGACGATGCGCAGCTTACGGGCCAAGCGGCACAGCTGGCTCCAAATGAAGGCGGGCAGGGTGCGCGGCTGGGGCGGCGGCGGCGGCGGCGGCTGGCATATCGCCTGCGCCGTCAGGACCAGGCGCCGCAATACGGGCAACCGCTGCAGGCTGCCGCCCAGCACATAACAGCCGTGCAGCAGCGAGATGAGCACCAGGAGCGTCTTTAGCAGCGACCAGAGCGAGCGTCCGCGCAGGCGCAGCTGCCACACATCCTGGAATGCGTCGAGCACGGATCGCTGCTGCGGCACACTGGCGCTGCCCATCAGCTGCACTGGCAACAACAGCGTCTCCTGGTTGGTAGCCTGCGTCTGCGTCTGTGTCTCGCTGTCGGCCTGCCCCTGGATCTGTCTGTGGGTCTGGGTCTGTGCATGTTGCCCGTGCGCTAGCTGTGTCCGTAGCGTCTGTGTTTCGGCCTGCAGTTGGGCACGTATCTGTGTCTGGGTACCGATGGTCCGCTGCAGCAACTGTGCATCCAGGCTGATCATCAGCTTGTCGCAGCGCGTGCAATGGAACGCGATCTCCGCATGCTCCAGCACCTCATAGAAGCCGATCGGCGGCGTTTCATCCTCCAGCTGCGGCAGATTCTTCGCGCACAGCCATTCGAACAGCTTCGTTGGCTGGGTGGGCGCCGGCCCATCCCCGATGGCCACCGCTGCCTTGGGCAGCTTGTCCATGATGCAGCACCAGTTGCTGCTGCTGCTGCTGCTGCCGCCGGTGGGTTCAGCTCTATTCAGAGTGTTCGCTTCCATGATCACAATTCCAGCATGTGTTCACTTGATTGTATATATATGTGTGTAGCTTTGGTGGGCGTGGGCTGCATCAAAATATATATATATATATATATAATAAAAATATATATATATATATATGTATATAATATATTTTCACAATTCACTTATTCGACTTACGAACGGAACAATTTCACTACTCAATTTTCCAGTTTCTGAGCATTATTTCAATTGAGGCACGTTTCACCAAACGATCTCGATAACAAACAATTCAAACAAAGGCGACCCGTTTCAGCCTGAATGCGCTCCTGTGCGATTGAAATATCGTTCCGCTCTATTTGCATTTGCGGCTCGCAATCGCAATCGTTCTCGCAATCGTTATCGTTATCGATATTGTGTTATCGCACTGCCCGCTTATCGAACGCTACAGCACCGATTGCTTACAGCAAATATATGTTTGGCTCAAGTGGGCGTGGCATATTGAACAATATTGACTACTCCACGCCCAGCTACGTATATGACAAGGCGATTAACGGTAGAAAAAACAAAGTTTTCTGACGATTTATTGAACGAAAGCCTACTTTAGATCTTAACATAGATTTGTTTTAAGGCATGCAGCAGATTTTTTACACGGAAGCGAATCTTTTCAGATGATATATAAGAAGTTTTCCAAAAACCTGGGAAACTAATTTTTATTTTTTCAATAATATTAGAAAAGTGTGCCGTATTCAAACGATATAATTATTAATCTGCTTTTCGATTTTAAGAAAATTTAAATTTTAATTTTAAGCTACATAATTTTTTGAAATTCGTTTAAAAACCTCACTTAAATTGTTTTTTCATTTATGCATATTTTTTTAAATTTTTCATTAGAAATATGATGAGTTATTCTAAGATATTTCAATAAATTTTGACAAATTTGACAAATATTAATTTTCTCTTTTTTTTCCATTCACACATAAATTATTTCTAATTTATATATATTTTTTGTAAATTTGTTCTCTTGAAATACGAGTCAAATGTGGCATTCGCACTAGCGAGTGATCACTGTACTCTAGTTGAAAATTAAGTATGATCTAGTATGATAGGGTTTTGGCCTAGGGTATTTTTCGTATAGCTCGCTGTAATGAATGTCTTACATGGGTATTCATTTTGCTGTTGTTGCATATTGAATTCGATGCGAACAACAAAATCAATTCGCGTTATCAAAACCTGTGCCGCTTATCAGCTCGCATTACGACGACCGTTAATCGTATGACGGCAGCGCGAAGATCTCTCGCGGGCGGGGAACGGTGAATGGGGGCCGGAGCCCCGATCACGAGTTGCGCACCCCCACAACACCTCGCTGCGGCTGCTATTGATAGACGCGGACTGATTAGCCGACCCATGTTGATGTTGGCGATAAGGCGAATCGCGGGGCCCTACCGACTGGCACATAGATCACAGATACCAAAGAAATGGCAGGGAACAGTCCAATGATTAATCATGCTCAAATAATAAAAAAGAAAAGAAGAAGAAGAAAACATGAATTGTATTTTGAATATAGAATCAGGCAGCTTTTAGATTCGTTTGCTCAAGGAATTAGGCGGCCAGTGTGAACCTCGCTCCAGTTATTCACAGCTAACGCACAGTGTTGCGAAAGTGCTCAAAACTCCATGAAATTGTTGAGTTTCACTTGTGTATGTATTTCTATCTGGTCACATTACAATTTTGTCTGTTTACTGGTCCCACTGTGCCGCAGTCTTCTCCAGCAAATACATTTTTAAAGTTTCCTTTTGTGTGTGTGTGTGTGTGTGTGTGTGTGTGTGTGTGTGTGTTTTTATTGGACAGCGCGATTGGCAACAAATTAAAGCAAAATGCTTGTTATCTGTAATATACACCGACGCCGCATATACTCTAAAGCAGTGCTATAAAGATTATGATATAAGCACAGGACCATATATGTTTATATCTTACATTGTTTAACTTTTTCAACTGCAGTTCTTTGGCCTTGACTGGCTTAGTAAAGACGTGGGAAGAAATTAGCTTCAAAATATGTTCATTTTTCGGTATTTTTCCATTTCATTTTGGTATTTTTTTTTTTAAATTTTATATAGTAGTAAAAGATTATAAATAGTAAAGAGATAAACATTTAATGCGCTCTTTAAAGAATTGCAGGCATTTTATCTAAAAAAGAAAACAACTAGATTCGATTGTAGATGCCCGGATTATAGATACCCTGGAACACAGACTATTGCCAATTTAATAGATTATCGTCAGCTTTATTATGTTGCCAACTACTGCAAAAAGTTGTAAAACTCAGCCAGCAAGCAGAGAGAGAGAGAGAGGGAGATGGAGAGAGGGAGGGCGGGAGGTAACAAAACGAAGAGCAGCAATATTTAGTTAGTTATCACATTTATAACGATTGTCATTTACTAAGCTCATACTATACATATAAAAAATGTTAATTAAAATTTAACACAGATTAATGCGCGCTCTCTCTCTCTCTCTCTCTTACATACTCTCCGGCGCACTGATAAGAAAGCACACAGAGAGCGCGCGCAACGGAGAGCAGCAGAGCGCAAACGCGAGCGCGAGCTCGAACGCGAGCGAGCAGGCGCAAGAGTTGCCACTCATTTGTAGATTGGCTGCGGAGCGGCACGCCGTTATTTGTTCGTTTTTTGTTTTTTGCTTGTCGATTTATTTGGCCGCGCACTGACAACGGCAACGGCTGTGCAGCACTCCAGAGCAGAGCACAAGATCCAACAAAAACAAAAAAAAAGAAGAAAATAAATAGAATATAATCATAAATAAAATAAAGCCCAGTTGGTCGAGCCGAAAGCCAAGCAAATACACTCAATTACCGTTAAACACTTCGATAGTCGAGATCGAAATTCGAAATTGTCTGCGCTGTGCCTCAATCATATATAACAGTTGTTTTTGTTTTTGTTCTACCCATTTTTTTTGTTTTTGTTTTTTACACTTGCGCTGTTTTTAATTCCAATAACCGCCAATTTTCAAAGTTGACGCGCTTTCAGTTCACAATCGGCAGCTCAGCGACGCGCACCGAGTGCAAAGTGAAGTTCATTGAAAAAGAATTGAAATTCAGAAACCCAAGGGACACTAACAACATAAAACAAGCAAAGTGCAACTGAGCCAAACGCAACAAAAGGAAAATCTTAAAATATACAAAATATATTAAGGCGCAAACTGCACGGCAGGACCAGGTAAGATGCATCAGGTGTATATGCTTATATGCAATATTCAATAATTTGACTGATCGAATGCAAGGCATGCACTGTCAAAGCTAAGAAAATATCGAATCAACCAAAAACGTGCTACTATTTTTAAATCTCTCTCAATTGCTAACACTCAAAATTACTATAAATATACTACATTCAATATTCACATATACGAGCGGGAGTGCCAAGCAGAGAGAATCGTTGGGTGTGGGTGTGATTGTGGCTGTGTTTGGGATTGTGGGTGTAGAAGGCGCCTCACTGTGACACAGTTAGTCCCATTTGGCAACAGACCTCCACAGGTGGCTGCCACGCCGAGTGCACCGTAAACAAGGGTATTTATGGCTCGCGTAAGCCCCTGCAAATCGGCCCATGGCAATGAACTTGCCGGACGGCGATACGATCGTGTCAAGAACAAAGCCAATTAATAATTAGACATGGGTCAAAAATTACCACCTCCATATCTCGGCCAAATCTTATCAGATTTTCACGAAGTTTGGCGTTTTCTTCATGGTTTTCCCTCTAGATTAATCCGGCATTCAAATCTCGACACCGATTTTTTGGTCGAAATTCATGTCCAAATCTTACCCCAAGATTCGTATATAGACATGGGTCAAAAATTACCACCTCCATATCTCGGCCAAATCTTATCCGATTTTCACGAAGTTTGGATTTTTCTTCATGGTTTTCCCTCTAGATTAATCTGGCATTCAAATCTCGACACCGATTTTTTGGTCGAAATTCATGTCCAAATCTTACCCCAAGATTCGTATATAGACATGGGTCAAAAATTACCACCTCCATATCTCGGCCAAATCTTATCCGATTTTCACGAAGTTTGGCGTTTTCTTCATGGTTTTCCCTCTAGATTAATCCGGCATTCAAATCTCGACACCGATTTTTTGGTCGAAATTCATGTCCAAATCTTATCCCAAGATTCGTATATAGACATGGGTCAAAAATTACCACCTCCATATCTCGGCCAAATCTTATCCGATTTTCACGAAGTTTGGATTTTTCTTCATGGTTTTCCCTCTAGATTAATCTGGCATTCAAATCTCGACACCGATTTTTTGGTCGAAATTCATGTCCAAATCTTACCCCAAGATTCGTATATAGACATGGGTCAAAAATTAGCACCTCCATATCTCAGCCAAATCTTATCAGATTTTCACGAAGTTTGGCGTTTTCTTCATGGTTTTCCCTCTAGATTAATCCGGCATTCAAATCTCGACACCGATTTTTTGGTCGAAATTCATGTCCAAATCTTATCCCAAGATTCGTATATAGACATGGGTCAAAAATTACCACCTCCATATCTCGGCCAAATCTTATCCGATTTTCACGAAGTTTGGCGTTTTCTTCATGGTTTTCCCTCTAGATTAATCTGGCATTCAAATCTCGACAGCGATTTTTTGGTCGAAATTCATGTCCAAATCTTACCCCAAGATTCGTATATAGACATGGGTCAAAAATTAGCACCTCCATATCTCGGCCAAATCTTATCCGATTTTCACGAAGTTTGGATTTTTCTTCATGGTTTTCCCTCTATATTAATCCGGCATTCAAATCTCGACACCGATTTTTTGGTCGAAATTCATGTCCAAATCTTATCCCAAGATTCGTATATAGACATGGGTCAAAAATTACCACCTCCATATCTCGGCCAAATCTTATCAGATTTTCACGAAGTTTGGCGTTTTCTTCATGGTTTTCCCTCTAGATTAATCTGGCATTCAAATCTCGACAGCGATTTTTTGGTCGAAATTCATGTCCAAATCTTACCCCAAGATTCGTATATAGACATGGGTCAAAAATTAGCACCTCCATATCTCGGCCAAATCTTATCCGATTTTCACGAAGTTTGGCGTTTTCTTCATGGTTTTCCCTCTATATTAATCCGGCATTCAAATCTCGACACCGATTTTTTGGTCGAAATTCATGTCCAAATCTTATCCCAAGATTCGTATATAGACATGGGTCAAAAATTACCACCTCCATATCTCGGCCAAATCTTATCCGATTTTCACGAAGTTTGGCG